TGGACGGCCGTTCCGTCCTATTGTGGGTTTCCTCAGCAGTGCTCATCCACAATCCTTCTACGCAAGATTCGAGCTCAGAACCTACCGGTCTCGCGCGCAAACACTTAAACTCTAGACCATTCAATCGGCATCCGACGGTGCCAATGTCTAAATTCAACTAATTTACGAAAGTGAGCGACACATACACCATTGTCTTGAGTGGTTTGCTATCTCACGACAAACTCGGTTGCACTCCATTGGTTACGGCTTCACACTAGAACTCGAAGAAATACCTCTTGAAGCTAGTCACTAGTGAGCGTATGTTGATTAGTATCAGATGGAGTTTTTTGGATATTATAGTAATTTTTAACTGTTGAGATCATGAAGATCACCTAAAGCTAAACCACCATGGAAAACCTGGAATCACTGGACGACCGTTTCGTTCTATTTCGAGTTTTCTATGCTGGTCTATCTTCAATCGACTCATAATCTCAACTATTAAAAGAATTACTATGATATCAACAAAACCCCTTCTGATACATAATATTTTGTAAATGACTTTCAAATTAATCTATTTAGAAACTGAACACAGTTTTAAAGAGTTAAAATAAAACAATGAAAATAAATAAACTAACTTTATGACTACATATTTAATTCCATCGAAATTTACTAAATTGATCAAAATAAATTGAGTTAAGATGGTGGATGTAAAATGTTTACTGATGAACTAGTTCATATACGATATGTTTCCCTTTATTGTTCACTTTCTAATATTAAGAAAACTTGTTTTCATTGTCTAATCTAATTCGAAAATTGATTTCAATGTCATTCATATAGAGAGAAATTAGTCATTCATTGTTCAATAAATATCTAATTAATCAATGTCGAATAAGTAATGGAAAAAACTAACAGAACAGAACTTATAAATGTTCATATTTATCTATTCGTTTTATTGAAATGGAATTTTTTTCAAAAAAAGAAGGTAGTTTTTACCACTTTCTTCTTCAATTTCTCGATGATTTTGTTTAAATTAGTGAACAACAAAAATTTCCATTCAGATTACTTCTCTAAATATAGTTATCAGTTTTCATTTTGGTTTAGTTTTTTTCTTTCTACAAACTATTTATGTGAATATAGTTTACTAAGAAATAGTTCTGTAGATGTTTTGTCATGTATTATAGTCACTTTCTTAACTTGCTGCGTATCGCTGATATGAATTATTAGTAACGTAAGCTATTTATTGTGCTTGAATACTTGTTTTTGCAGAAGATTAATGATATGTTATCTTATATTGATATTAAATGATTGAATAATCATTATAGATTAATAACATTCTCTTTGATTAATAAATTTTAAAATAGATAACAATTCATTTGACAGCTAGTGAGTTAGTAACAAGTTGAAATATTCAGACAATAATAGTAGTCTAGTATTTGTAAGTGTCTAAGTTTCTCCATTATTAATATTTAGAACTTAGTATTCAATATCTAGTTTTGTATAATTCTATTTTAAAATGTCAATAAAATATACGTGATTATTTTTATTTTTTTATTTTTAAGAATAATGAATAGGAAAATTAAAAAAATTTCACTTCTTTTTTAGTTTATAATAAATATGTATTTAAATATATAAAGTTAACACCAACATACGAACAAATTTCAATATTGGAGTACATGGTAAGTGTACAATTAATCACTTTAATAAACAGAATTATTATTAATTATTTATACTTTTCTAGATTAAAATCATTAATGTAGCAATAGATTACAGTAATATTGTAGTGTATGTTACTTTTATCAACAGATATAAGTAGTATGTAACATCAATCAGAATGTTAAGAAGATCGAGTTGAAGAGAACAAGAATATAAATAGGGATGAAGGAACGATGAAGTTTGTAAGAGACAATTAATGAAAGTTGTACAAATGAAGTATTTAATGTATGGTTTTCATACTTTTTGGAGATATTCTACAATATCATATTCAACAATAAACTGGTCTTTCCCATATGAATTTTTGTTTATATAAGATAAATTTTTCCCTATACATGTTGCTCACTTTAAAAATGTACACTCAAATACATATAAGCCATAACACCAGTTCAGTGTGCTACAAGATGACTAAATTAAGGTTGAATTAGCATTGTCGTTTTTTTTGTAAATTTGTTTAAATTCCGTAAAAGTAAAACTAAAGGTTTCAGCGCTTCCTCAGTTGGTATTAATTAATGACAGAAACCATGTTCAGACTTAATAAATCTCTATATATCTCTAAATCAAGCAAAAACTTGAAGCTTTTTAATCTTTTTTTAAGCATTTTAATTGAACCTCTACTGCTTCTGACACCTAAATCTTATGAAATAAATGATGTAAACAAATTTGTTGAGCTGTTTTTATGGACATTTTACACATTGTAAAGACTATTTTCAACATAAAATGATACCCTCTAAGAAATTACAGAAGACTGAAAACAAATGAAATGGTATTTGGTTATAGTTTTAGACTTCTAAATATTACACATCCATGCTTACTTAGTAGATAGAATACAAGATCTAAAGTTTATCTGAAAAAAAATTGATTTTATAATACTCTATAACATTGTCTGACGTGATTACTTCTACTGATAACGACTTCCTACTTTCACTTCAAAAATATACCTCTTGAAACTAATCATTAGACACTTTATGTATTCATATTTTGCGGATATGTATAAATATAAGAAAATTTCAACCTTGAACTGTCTAAATCAGTCTTCATTTTAAACAGTTTTTCAATGATTCTCATTTCATAGAATCATAAATCACTTTTTTTCTTCTTTTAATTTGATTACTTCTTTACAATTTTAAAACAACTTAACAAGTGAGTGTTTAAAAGAATATACTTTTTTTCTTTTTTACTTCGAAGAAATATTCAGTATTTTCATTGTATAAATGGGAATTGAAGCAAAAACAGTTTTGTTTTTTATTTTCTTAAATTTCAACGAAAAACTTTCTTCTCTTTTGATTGCTTCATTTCTGTGTATCATAGAAACTAACTAGAAAGAAAAAATAATAATAAAATTTTTATCTTTTTTTATGAAAAGAAAATTTTTTAAATTGTATTAGAAAATATTTTCTTCTTTTTTTTATCAATGGCTCAAATGAAATCAATCAATTTAGCATACCTGTATAAGTGAATGTTTGTATGTATATGCTAAGTGAACAGGACCTATAAAAAGAATATTATGCTTGATACCAGTCCACTATACATATATATATATATAGACGTATTTATAGAAGTTTATACATAATCTTGACTTCTTGATCAAGGTGGAAATTTACGCAGTAAAAGAGTTTTACTTCAGCTTGTTGAAGCTGATATTGTTTGTTTATATATATATATGTACTTTGGTTTGGTGTATATTTACCTACCTATGTGTTTATATATATCAATGTGTGTCTGTATAGTAGATATGCTTAATTACTATATCAGTTGATGTTTGTATTAAAATGAATGGAAAAAAAATTCAATAAAATCAAATCCTGTCCAGATTGAACTCAAGTGAAAAAAAAGAAAAGAAAATTGTGAAAGTTTTGAATGAAAAGAATTAAAACAATTTTGATTTGAAATGGATGCATAAACAACCCAAATAAGGTTTTTGTTTTAAATATTGTATGTGTGTATGTCAATTTTTCATTTTAATTTATTGACAAAATCTAGAAATTAAAAAACAAAAAAAATAGATTCTTCGTAATTTATCCTTACTATTCTAAGTAGAATTCTGTGTTTGGTTTGTTCTCTTTTTTTTCACTGATAAATCAGATAGTTTTTGATTTAATTGTCAGAAGAAAAAGTTTTTTTTCAAAAAGAATCAAAACTAAGTTAATGAATAAAATATATTATATTACGCTTGTGGAGCAAGGTACATTAGCCGTAGCCAGCGCTCGCTTTCAACTCGAATACAGGAACATATCCCAGCTTTTTTCTATAAGGGTGAAAGGAAAGCAGTTAGGAGTTCTATACTTGAACACCTAATCGACTGTAACTATTATGTAATCTCTTGATAGTGCTCCACTATTAAACTTAGTTCATATAAAATAATGATTACTTATTAATGCTAATAAATTAATATCAACAGGGAAACTTATGCTGAAGAAATTCATTGTGATAACAATTCAATATGGTTATAAACACTTTTCATAAATTATCTTAATTAACCATACCATATTGGTTCATTGTAAAGAATATAATTACACAACTTTACATAAGATAATACATGTAGCATGAAAAAACTTGAGTATTTACTTGAAAATTAGTGATGTAGAATTTAACAAAGAGAAAAAATTTGTAATTCAATCGGTAGAAAACATAATTAAATGATTTCAGAGTTTAAAGCGAAAATTAAAATAATAATAAAAGCTATTTTTCACATTTTAATATTTAAACTTGTTTCAATGTAGAAATGAACTTGACTTAAGGGCTTGAGTCTCCCTACTGCCAGTTATGAGTACTGTATTTAATCAATTTATATCAGTATATGTTCATCATTGAGAAACTGGTTCGATGTTGTCTCTAAGAAGGAGTTTCATTAATGCTGAATTGTGGATAACAATGAAATCTATAATAAGTGATTCGTCCTGTTTAAGACTCAAAAGCTAGTGTATTTTTATTCTGAATGATATCTTCGTCACAAATTAGCAATAGTTGGATAATCACTGAGAAACAGTAAACACTAAACAATTGTTTCAACTTGATTTGAATCGTTTTATAGAATTTTACATTCCCTATGATAGACGAAATTAATATTATTTTCACAGCTTTTAGTTTAAAAATGAAATCATTTTACCAAAAGCGTAAACTAAGGGAAAACTTTAAAAACTAAAGTAAAAACCATTAGATTTTTTTCAAATAAATTACTTATTAGTAATGAATTGATACTAAAATAAAAAAGTATTTTCCGATTATTTAACTAACAATATATCATTATTCGAATGTTAATTATACAGTTATTTCCTTATTTTTGTTTTCTTTTTCTTTTTCGTCTACAGACAGTCGTTCCATGTCTTATTTATAAATGTTATCTGGATAACTTCAGACTGTGAGTTAACAAAAAAATGCATGATAAACGTTCTCATTTTATGTATCTTTTTGCATTGATTTATGATTTCATTCATTTTATTTTTCAATTCTTTGTATACTATAATTAAGACCTGTGGTAAAACGTCATAAATTACACAACATTGAAGGGAGTATTTATTCATATATAAATTAATATTTATTACTTTTTACATATCCTAAAAGAATATTTTAATGAATATAAAATGTAACATTTCTTCTCTGTTTTATGTATATTTTGTTATTTCCACTGATTACTTAAATAAAAAAGCAACCGTTTTCAAAGTCCATCATTCATCGGTAATCAATACTGTTGAATATTTGGCAGCAATATGTGTTGAAATCATGTGTTATTATGAACTATTATATCCTAGTTTAAAAGGTATTATATTGTTTGTTAACTTAGGATATTATTTAATATGTTGAGTAGTGGTCATTCAATTCTTTGTATATATAAAATAACCTTCAAGATATAATTATTCTCATGAAAACGTAGACTTAGTTTTCGAGTTTATTGACGATTGCCTTAAGGTGCATTTGGATCTTTGAGAAAAATAATGTCTTCCGAGGTACTCTCTGATAAGTTCGTTAAGCAGACGCTCTTGAATATGAAAAAGGGCAGATTCTGGTTAACATTAAATTTTATTCCAATTTCTCACCAATAATTAGATAGAATATGTACAATTAGAATGATTAGAGTTTCATCAACACATTCAGAAAATATTATCGATGAACAAATTCGTCTAGAACAAAATAGAAAAAAAAGTAAATCTATTTCACTATTATACTTACAAAACAATAATGTATTCACACAGATACATACTTTCATCAAAATTTTTACATAGGACATAAAATCAAACAATGATTGTCTTACAACAACAACAACAACAAAAACAAAGTTAGTGAATAATTTTTTACAACACATTTAAAATAATTAATTTTATTATGTTCTAATCTGCATATGTAAACTATACTGGTCGGATTATTCATTGTGTTCGATTACGTCATGAAAATTAATTAGATTAGGTTTAGTTATAATTTTCTACCCCCCTCCCTTTACTTTGAACAAGTCTTCATACTAATCAATATTCCTGGGGGTTTTGTGATGTAACAAATTTGTTATTATAATGAACAGAAAAAAAATTAGGTTGGAAACAACTAGATATTGTGTTTTTTTAAAATCTAATTTATATTTAGAAAGGTAAGTTGAATTGAAATAGTTATTTTATTTTTCCTATTATCATTGGAAATGATGATAATGTTAATTATGGGAGATTGCTAGACTGCTGGACTATAAAACAGTATGATAATATTTAGTTAAGTTTTCTCTACAGATTTCTACATGAATTGATGCTGTTTGTAAAGTTAATGAGAAACATAAAGAACCGGATAGCCGGGTTCCAAATGTGCTAAATATTGCTCAAATTTAAAGTATTTGAGAAAATAAATAAATGTGAAACGAAATGGAAAGTTAAGTTTGGTAAAATTGCTACTTATTATATTACAATATCAGTAGTAAATCACCCCGGTAATTAAAAAAAATGGTAATTTTTATCTAAAGATAAACAGATATCATAATTACGGATGTAAATTCACTATTTAATGTGGATTAACTAATGTCACTTCAGTAAATAGAATGTTGAATTCTGTCAATCTAGCAATCATATCAAAATTCTAACTAAGAATATCTGATTAGTATAGAAACGTAAACAAATAAAGATTGATCAAATTCTATCGAATTTGTTCAACGTTATCTAAATAGTTTGATCAAGAGTTAGATTTAAATAATCTTAGCAAAGAATCATTATATAAACTTAATAGTTCATTATGACATAATCATCAAAATTACTGTAAATATTGATTATTGATATTACTTTACACAGGAAAAGTGTTTCAGTGTTACTATAACCTTCAGTTTATTTTGAACTTCCTTATTTCGAAATTAATTTTGACAAGCGGAAAATATCACTTACTTATGGTTTGCTTGGTAGTAAGTTACATTATGTGATGTATTAATTTCTAATAAGTCATATTTGAAAGTTAATTCATGAAAAAATATAAAACCAAACAGTTGATTAAAAAATTATTATTAATATAATGCTTACAATTTCAAAATTTGCGGTCATGAATCTTGAATCTCGCGAGGCAGAATTACGGATGCGTACTGCTGAGGAGTCCCATAATAAGACAAAACGGCCGTCTAGTGCTTCCAGGTTTTCCATGGTGTTCTAACTTCCACTAACTCATGATCTGAGCTACTGAATTTTAAAAATTTGTAGACAAATTTTGCTAATATTTGTCATTTTTAATATGTAGATTAGTTTTTTTTGTCAGATTTTGCCAATATAAAGAAAGAATTTCATATTCAAGTTATCATAACTAATTTTTAGTGACTACTTAACAGACAAATATATCAGCTGAATGATTTGTTCAATAATTTGGTTATGTCTATGTTTAAAGCATCACGATTTCCATCACTCATATCGATTCATCATAAGCATAAGACACGCATAACGACCATAAATTTAAATAATCAAGTTTTATTACATTCAGTCAAATAAAAATGTTGAATTATTCAATATATAAAATTAACTTAAAATTCACTCTATAATAATTCACTTAAATGATAATTAAGATACTGCTGACAGCAGTATTATTGACGATGACGGCGACGACGACAGTGGTGGCAATGAAAATATATTTGTTTTGTTTAAAAAAAATTATATCATATTTCTTGACAGATCTGTCATATGCAATTCAACTCGAATTTCTTATTTATAGAATTATTTCTTATCATTGACATTCTCATCATATTTCATTCAGATAAACAAATTTTGTAAGAAACTTATATTTGTTTATTACTCAATCGTTGTATGTAATAAGTACGTTTGCCTAATTGAATTAATCATAGTAATATTGGTGAACAATGATAGTTATTAAAAGAAAATTCAAAAATATTACGGTTTACATTTCATGTTCATCTTCACGTAAAACTTAAATTTTTCGAGATTAATAACCAGTATACTTATAGTTCGATGTAATAATGTTCAACAGGAATATTGGGTGACGCAATGAATGATACGAGATAATATAAGATACTCTGGTAGCTACTCAGCTTTTTGAGTGAGAACCTGAGAAAGGATGAAATTATTTCTTGAGTTCCCGATTGTTTAACAGATACATTAGCTAAGTTAGCAGAATCATTGTTACCGATCACAAAATAAAATTATAGTACTTAGTATTGATTATGATCACTTACTGTAGTCTGTAATGTGAATAGCATTCTTATAATTTTAAACACAGATTGTCATTAGCTTTCATTTGTAAACCAGTCATATCATTTCAGTGGAATGATTCCCATTCGATAATGACAATAATTTCATTTTTGGTTCATTTCACCAGTTAGAGAATCCTTCCATTTATGTCTGGTGTTAGAAGAGACATCAGTAAACGATGAAGGTTGTTCGTTATATTGTCATTTTAATCTAGCTTGTAAGCTCGTAGTGTTACGTATTTTCGATGCGAAAATAAATTTAGTATTTGACTTTCTGGTTTGAAAATTAAAATAGTTCCACACCTTATCTGAATTTAACAGTTCAACATTTGGAAAATATTATTGATAACGAGACGCAGATACAAATTCATTTCATAGTATACACATTCACTTTATATCTAACTAAACTCCTTTCAATGAATTACACTAAACAAATGGTAAATTAATCCTCAAATTGAAGTTGACAGATATGACACGAAGGAACCATTTGTCAACAATCAAAATATATATTAAGTAGTTAGACCAAGCAATGATTAATATAATATTTAATTAAGTTGATATCACTGATCAGACAGCCAAAAATGAGGATTCAATTCACAGGTCAACCATAAATCCTTACTTACGCCTGTTCTCCCTCGTGAAGAAACATAGGCCGCCTACAAGCATTTTCCACTGAACTATGTACTGGACAGTCCTCTCCAGTTTTTTATAGTTGCCATTCATCCTTTTAATGTCTGCTTTTAATTTTCGTCACAGCGTGTTCTTTGGCTTTTCCCTTCAGGATTCCAAGTTAGCACTTGCTTCGTGATGCAGTTTGATTTCCACAATGTATGTGGAAAATCCAAATATCCTTAGTACTTACACATCGAACCAAAAACAAAGTAATTAACTGACAAGAATTTTGTTTATTAAATTAGAGAATCGGTTTATAGATCCGGTATATCGACTGAACATAGTTTATTAGACGACATAAAGTTATCCTGAACTGCTTATTAATTCTCAGTTCATGACCAATCCGAGCATTATGATTTTACTCGGATGTTAGAAAACCATTTCCTATTTTAAAATTCGTATGCATACTATACATCAGGTTTTTTGAATTGAATAATAACAATTTTCATTTTAATTATGCTTTCCTTGATGATTCATAAAATGTATTCCTTTGTAATATACTAAACAATTACAATACATACACACACACACACAAACACTGAGTTGTATAGAACTAGACACAAATTGAATATTTTGGGTGGTCAACTTGAATATAAGTTCGAATTATACCAAACAACATACCATATTTTCTCTATATCTCACAGGGTATAAGCCAGCGTTTTTTCTATACATATATATGTTTATTCATCTTTCTATTGTGTCTTTTTTTCTATATTTTAAGTTGAAATTTCAATTCCATCTGTCGTGCTCTGTCCTTTTCTGTTATATTATAAAATAAAATGAGGAAACATTTCTGCAAAAAAAATGGAGGAATATTATTTATGAGGAACTAAAAATGTTATATTAATGTATTTTTGTCATAGGAAACTGAATAGAAAGTATATTGATAAAAAGATAATGTGTATAAACAATGTGATTTCTTGATTTCTATCATGCGTGTGGTTGATGAATATTCTCATGCAAAATCTCACCTATCTAGTGTATCTAAATATGGATGTGTGTGAAGTTGGAAAAAAAAAGAAGGTAGAAGGAATTGA